TTATATCCCAATAAACCCATGGTAAATTGAAAAGATTGTAGTGGAAAATGCATTTAATACACCTAAGCTATCGAACATCATAGCTTAGCTTAACCTACCTTCAATGTACCCAGAACACTTACATCAGCCTACAGTTGGACAAAATCACTGGCAACACAGTACCCTAAAGAGCACCACCAGTTTTTTACCCTCACTATGGTGTGGCTGACTGAGAGCTGCGGCTCACTGCTGCTGTCCAGCCTCATAAGAGAGTGTCCACTGCATATTGCTAGCCTGATCAAAATTCAAAGTGCAGTTTCTACCAAATACATATTGCTTTCGCACCATTGTAAAGTCAAAAATCATAAGTCAAACCATGATAAGTTGGGACGGTCTGTAAGTTTCAGAGAGACATGTGCACTCTTTAACCAGCTTCCCGAATGGTAACATCTTGCAAAGCTCTTGTACAATGTATCACAACCACAGTATTGACATTGATACACTCCATCCACCTTACTCAGATTTCCCCACTTTTTCTTTCTTTCTTTTTTTTTTTTTTTGAGACAGAGTCTCACTTTGTTGCCCAGGCTAGAAGTGAGTGCCGTGGCATCAGCCTAGCTCACAGCAACCTCAAACTCCTGGACTCAAGCAATCCTCCTGCCTCAGCCTCCCAAGTAGCTGGGACTACAGGCATGTGCCACCATGCCCAGCTAATTTTTTGTATATATATATTTTTAGTTGGTCAATTAATTTCTTTCTATTTTTAGTAGAGACGGGGTCTCGCTCTTGCTCAGGCTGGTTTCGAACTCCCGACCTTGAGCAATCTGCCCGCCTCGGCCTCCCAGAGTGCTAGGATTACAGATGTGAGCCACCACGCCCGGCCCCCACTTTTTCTTATACTTTTTTATATGTATTTAGCCCCCTACAATTTTATCACATGTGTAGTTTGTGCATTTACTACAGAGAACCACAGTCAGAGAATAGTACCACTACAGCAGGGAGCTCTTATCTTTCATTTATATATATATATTTAATTTCTTTTTCTTTTTCATCTTTTTTATTTTTTTACTCAACAGCAAGTCAGAAACTAAATCTTTCCCTTTTATAACCATACCCAACTTCTTCCTGTCCCTTCCCCATCCTGAACCCCTGGAAACCACTAATCTCTTTTCCATTTCCAGAATTTTACCTTTTCAAAAATGTTATATAAATTGAAATATACTATATATGATCTTTTGGTATTGGCTTTTTTTCTCCCAACAAAATTTTCTGGAGATGTATCCAAGTTATTACATGATGAATCAACAACTATTCATTATGCAATAGTTCATTATTTTTTTTGTTAATTTTTAAATTGTATTTGCCTCCTAAGATTTCCACATCCTATATTTTTTTAATCCTTTTTTTATTGCTAAAGAGTTATTTCGTGACATGAATGTACCACAGTTTGTTTAGCCACCAACCCTGTAGAAGGACATGTAGGTTGTTTCCAGATTTGGACCATTCTGAATAAAGCTGCTAATGAGCATTTATGTGCAAGGTTTTCTGTAAACACAAGTTTTCATTTCTCTGGGATTGATGCCCAAGAGCATAATTGCTGGGTCATATGGTAATTACATGTTTAATTTTATAAGAAATTGCCAATCTGTTTTCCAAAGTGACTGTACCATTTTACATTCCCATCAGCAATCCAGTTTTTTTGTATCCTCACCAGCATTTGGTGGTGTCAGCATTTTTTATGTAAATGGAACAGTTTTATTTCTTCCTTCTCAAACTTTGTCTTCTATTTCTTTTTCTTGCCTTATTGCAGTGGTTGTTTTTTTTTTTTTTTTCACTTAAGAATATGACTTGGAGATCATATCAGATCAACCTCATGCTTTTTAATGGCTTTGTAGTTTTCCATAGTAAAATCACCATAATTTATTCTGCCAGTGTCCTGTTGATACACTTTTAGTTGATTTTAATCTTTTGCTGCCAGGAATAATGTTTCAATGAATGTCCTTGTAAAAATATCTTGTACAGGCCGGGGGCACAGTGGCTCATGCCTGTAATCCTAGCACTCTGGGAGGCCGAGGCGGGCAGATTGCTCGAGGTCAGGAGTTCGAGACCAGCCTGAGCAAGAGTGAGACCCCTGTCTCTACTATAAATAGAAAGAAATTAATTGGCCAACTAAAATACATAGAAAAAATTAGCCGGGCTTGGTGGCGGATGCCTGTGGTCCCAGCTACTTGGGAGGCTGAGGCAGGAGGACTGCTTGAGCCCAGGAGTTTGAGGTTGCTGTGAGCTAGGCTGACACCATGGCACTCACTCTAGCCTGGGCAACAAAGTGAGACTCTGTCTCAAAAAAAAAAAAAAAAAAACTTGTACATATGTCCTTGTACATAACATGTACAAGGTGTTGTAGAAAAAAAATTCTAGAAATAGAATTGCTGCATCAAAAGAGTATGTTCACTTTACTTTTTGACAGTACTGAATTGCCTTCCAAAGAGGTTGAATCAACATATAATCTTCCCCAACACAGTGCCTTCTCTAACTTTTAAAATTGTTGCCAATCTGATAGGTGAAAAACAGGATCTTTTTGTTATAGTTGCTAAATTTTAAGATGAGAGTTTAAGCTCTTTGCTTAAAATGAAATCAAATTTATAAACCTAAAAAAGTGACTTTGTAAAAGTCAAAGAGTATTATACTACCTTTTTACATATCAAAGTTAAATATTATTTTTTTAATAATATTATTTTTTTGGTTTTGACAAAGGTATCAAAATAATAATAATAATAATATTATTTTTTATTCAATCCAATTCTCCAGACTTTTATTTTATTTTTTCCAGGATCTCACTCTATTGCCTGGCCTAGAATGCAGTAGCATCATCATAGCTTACTGCAACCTTAAATTCCTAGGCTTAAGGGATCCTCCTGCCTCATCTTCCTTAGTAGCTGGGACTATAGGTACATGCCACCATGCCCAGCTAATTTGTTTTTAATTTTTTATAGAGATGGGTTAAACTTCTGGTCTCAAGTGGCCCTCCTACCTGGGCCTCCCAAAGTGCTAGGATTACAAGTGTGATCCACCGTGCCTGGCCTCCAGGATGTATTTTTAAACAAATGTAATGCTTTGTACACATTTCTTTTAAGTATATAGGAGACACTATAGTTGAGGCATTTTAGCAAACAGTCCCCAAACACCAGTACTGCTACTGTCTTCAAGGGGCATGCAATGTACCAAGCAAGTCTAGATAATTTCATTGCAATGCAGTAAGTTATTACGATAACTGTCTAGAGTGGGTGCAATATCTATAGTACAGAGGGAAGAGGAACTTAGCTGCATCTGGAGGTTAGAGAAGGCTTTGGGAAGGAGAGAACATCTGAGCTGAAGAGTAAGGGCAATCCAGGCAGAGGGAACAGCATGGGCAAAGACATTGAGGCATGAATGAACTTGAGGAGTGAGAATACCAGAAATTCAGCATTTCTAGAGGGGCAAGCAGAAGATTTTAGACTAAAGCTGCAAGCAGGAGCCCAGTTAGAAAAGCAAAGATTTTGGCTCTCTCCCTTAGATTATAGAAACCATTGATGGTTGTAAGGAGAAAATGGTCAGATTTGTATTTTCATTGCTTATCCCTTCTGTGTTCCACAATCCTGGATATATAGGTAATCAGATAATTAAGCATTTTTTGGCATGCCTGAGATATTTCATAATTATAAAAACAGAATATTGTTATACATTAGAATTTTTTCGAATCATCTCATTGCCATTTGTATTCATTTCCTATTATCACAGTAGCAAATTAGCACTATCCTCCCTGACAGGTGCAAGATTTGTGACCCCACCACCACCACCAATAGAATCTATCTATTCTATTGATAATGTTACTGTTGTAAATCCCAAGACTTGTGATTCTATAGATAACATTCCTGTTGTAAATCTTAAGACTGGTCTTTGAGGTATTTTTCATACTTTGCAATCCGGAGACCTACTGATGCCAGCCAGACCCATGGCTAGGCATGGGAACAGATCCAACAGCCCAGAAACCCCCTACCCAGGAAACCTCCCAATCAAGAAGATAATTTCCACATCCCAACCCTGTGAGGTCATCCCCTGCCAATCAGCAGGCCCAATTCCCTAGCCCGTTGCCCACCAAACTATCTTTAAAAACCCTTTATCCCAAATTCTCGGGTGATGGATTTGAGAAATTCCTCCCATCTCCTCACATGGCGCCTGCGATATTAAACTCTTTCTCTGCTGTAACCCCTGGTGTCTCTGTGTATTGGGTTCCTCTTGAGCAGCAGACAATGAACCTGGTCGGGCTGTAACAGAAGCACCTGGTACAAAGCCCCAATTCCTACTCTATGGATGTGAAACACTCAGGATGCTATAAAAGCACCATAGTCATTGGCCACACACAAACAGTAGTCTCGTGTGTTGGCTGCCCTGCTGTCCTCCGCCAGCCTGCAGGAAGAACACTGAGGCTTGTGCAAGGATGTTCTTGCAGGAGGAAGCAGCACTAAAAGCATCCTGAATCAAGATGAATGGGAAACCATCCCATTAAACACATTTTAGACATAAATTTTTTTAAAGAAAATTTAAATTGTGATAAAAGATGCATAACACAAAATGTACCATTTTTACCATTTTAAGAGTACAGTTCAGTGGCATCCGGTATATCCACATTGTTGTGTAACATCATTGCATTGGTGTATAACACCATCTATAACCAACATGCATCTCCAGAACTTTTTCATCATCTCACTCTGGGGTAACCCTGTCCCCATCAAACAGTACCTCTCCATTTCCCCTCCACCCCCTGCCCCCAGTAACCATCATTCTATATTCTGTCTCTGAATTTGACTACTCAAGGTTCCTCATTCAACAATTTTTGAGTAACTACTATGGGCTAATTACCCTGTCATGAATTGGGGAATCAAATATGAATATAGACATGGTTCCTAGTCTCAAAAAATTCCATCAAGACTGGGAAAAAAAATGCACAGACTTAAAAATGTAATGTCTCCTTTTACCTGCAGATCTCAGCTCTGGCGTCCCACGTGCCTGCACAGTCTCTCACAGTCAGGCCTGTCCTAGGCCCTGAGGTAAGGAAAGTAAATGACTCATGGTGTTAGCTTCACTATTTGTATCCTGCATCTTCCTCTTTCTTGGATTCATTTTCACTCTGCTTTTTGATAAGGTACACCCTTGAGTAATTATTTCTGGAGAATCTATGGGTTGCAAAATTTGTGAGTCCTGGACTATTTGAACATTTCTGTATTTTGGCCTCACACTTGAATGCTATTTTATAGAATTCCAAGTTCAAAATAATTCCCCCCTCAGAACTTTGAATACATTGCTCTATCTTCTTATTTTATTTTTTTAAATTTTTAGAGTTGAGATCTCACTGTGTTTCCCAGGCTGGCCTCAAATTCCTGGGCTCTAGTGATCCTCCCACCTCAGCCTCCTGAGTAGCTGAGACTACAGGTGCATGCCACTGAATCAGGCTGTATATTGATTCATCTTCTAACATCCAAAGTTCCTAATAAGCACTCTGATATCAATCCGACTTTTTTAATTGTTCCTTTCTCAGGAACCTGTTTGTCCTGTGTGGAAATGTTTAGGGTTTTCTTTTTATCCTTGGATTTATAAATTTTGGGCATCATGTGTCTGGGTGTAGATATTCTTTTCACTTACTCTGCACAGAATTAAGTGAGCCCTTTTCACATAACAGTTCATTTCTTTAGTCCAGGGAAATTTTCTTGTATTATTTCTTTTATTACTTCTTCCTCTTCATTCTCTCTGGTCTCTTTCTAGAATTCCTATTAGTCAAGTACTAATATTTCTGGATCCAACATGTCTCAACTTCTCTTTCATAGGTTCTATCTTTCTGTACCTTGTGAGACATTCTGGAAGAATCCCTCAACTTGATTGTCCGGCTCATTATCACTGAGTCTATTCTGCTATGCAGCCTACCTATTAAGTTTTGGGGGCTTTTTAAATCATAGAATATTTTTAATTTCCAAAAACAGGGTTTTTTTCTTAGCTTCTTCTCTCTGACAATATTAATTATAATTATTTTAAAGCCTTCTGATAGCTTTATTCTGTTTCTTTGGGGTATTTGTTTTTCTGTTTGTTGAGATTGATGCACTTTTTTTTTTTTTTTTTATTTCGGCATATTATGGGGGAACAGATTTTAAGGTTTCAATAAATGCCCTCCCCCCCACAAGTCTGAGTTTCCAGCATGACCATCCCCCAGATGGTGCACATCTCACTCCTTATGTA